AGAGCCTGGGTGGAGGTCAGGCTATCTGGTTGAACCCTGCCTTGCCACGCCACATGTGCATAACCAAAGCAAATTTTGATTCCTCATCAGGATTGTTGGGAGGACTAAAATACACTCAGAAGAGTGCTAGGCACACAGTAGTTCCCCATACATGTTATTTATTTTCTTAGCAAAAGTAGTCCTATTGTACAAAGATAAATGCCAGTCATTGGCATAGCAGCCTATGAAACATTTTTAAATCTTGGTGTCCTTGAAGACAAGATGAAGAAACTTGAGAAGTCATTCTTAAATACTGATATATAAAATAATCTATCTAATTATTTGCAAGTGCTTTTGATCACTGTTACAAGGCATCTTTAACAGATGTTTCAGATGGCCAAAAACAAAACAAAACAAAAAATCAGCTGTCCCTTTGGGAAATGGGGGTAAAAGCGGTAAAGTCAGATTTTACCTTTCACTGAACGTGCTTCTGCTCAGGCCCTCCAGTACCTCACCTATCTCTAGCACATTATTATCTGGGAGATCCCAGACTGGTGCAGAAGGATTATCTGGGAAATGCCCTTAACCTGTGAAAAGAGAAAAGGAAAACTCCAAGAGCCCCTGGCTCATGTCCAGTCAGCAAGCTGGTGGCTATGGTAACCACCCCTCCAAAATGACCCTATCGATTTCCACCTCCCAGTGTTCATGCTCTTACATGAGCCCCTTCTGTGGTGTAGGCTCAACATAGCTATTTCCTTCTATGAATTTTGAGAAATCTGAGTATTCCTGGGGGCTCAGATGGTAAAGCGTCTGTCTGCAATGTGGGAGACCTGGGATCGATCCCTGGGTTGGGAAGATCCCCTTGAGAGGAAATGGCAACCCACTCCAGTACTCTTGCCTGGAGAATCCCATGGATGGAGGAGCCTGGTAGGCTACAGTCATGGGGTCGCAAAGAGTCGGACACGACTGAGCGACTTCCCTCTCTCTCTCTCTCTCTGAATTTAGTAAATAGGAGTGATGGTGTGTAACTCTGAGATGTAGGTCATAAAAGTCAGCGATTCCTTCCTCAATCTCTCCCACCCCGTTTCTCACTCTCCATTTTTCTATATCTCTCTCTTTCTGTCTGTCTGTCTCCCCACATTTACACTGTTGACAGCCAGCCTAAGTCGTGAACAGCCAAATAGAGACACTCCCTTGGAAAGGAAGTGAAGCCTTCTGCCAACAGCCGTGTGAGTGAGTTTGGAGACTGAACCTCCATCGCCAGTCAAGTCTTCATGTGAAGGGCGCCCTGAGCGACAACTCGAGCGCAGCCCCGTGAGACTGAGGCAGAACCATCCAGCTGATCTTCCAGGACCTGGCCCTTGATCATTTGTTGTTGTTTTAAGCTGCTAATATTTGAGCAAACTTGCTGTGCATCGACAGATAAATAACAGAGACAGAGCTCTTAAAAGAACATCAGGTTATTGCTGAGCTGATGGCAGTTTTATCTGAGTAGAATGTAGAATGAGCATCATTTGTTTCTAAATTTTCACAACAGATCTAAGTAATCATATGCAGAGAGTTGAAATGATTAGCTTAAATAAGGCTATTATTAGATCAAAGTTGAAATTATTATCTCAAATGGACTCATTGTTCAACTATAAAGAATTGAAAGTACTATAGCATTCTTTATTTACCAAGAAAGTACTGTGGCTGAAGTTAACATTTCTGGCATTTACTCAGACTCATCTAACCAGGGCAGACCTCAAATCCACCTCTCTTGTTTAAGGTGGATAAACATGTGTTGCAATTCCTGCAGGTGATGACAACTCTGGCAAACACAGTATGCACAGGTGGATTGGATCTTTTATATTGTGACAACAAAGCCAAGAACTAAGGACTTAAAATAGATTATATTTTTCAGACACAAGACTATTTACATAGCAATCATTTCAAGTAGATCAGTATTTTAATCTTGGCTTAACACCATGAGGGAAACATACCAAACAGTGGCTCCCAGGTCATTAAAAACATGTCAGGTTTAGGTAAGCATAAAATTGGAGGTCAAGATGAATCCATGCTGAGTCCAAGAGGCATTATGTCGTAACTGGTGAAGAGGTGGACAAAACCTCCCCAAAATCAATGTTCAGAAAGTCTGAGATACTTCAAGTCATAGTCAAATGTAGCCATGCCTTCCTAGAAGCAGCCAAGGGCCTGAAAATAAATGCACTTGGAAAAAGATTAACCTCCCTTACGGGAGACAAAGCTTCGTAGGGGAAGAAGGATAGAAGCCGAAAGAGTTAGATGCAGTACAAATACCATGGTTCTCAGGAGAAAGGGGCCTAGGATTATAATCGGGGGTCTTCATTCACATTGTCTCCCAGGCATTCCCAAGTTGGACCCACTGTTAGAGCCATGGATATTTCATCATAAAATTGGATACATATTTTTGTACCCAAAGAAAAACTTTAAACCATGTTCTGGTAAAAATTGTTTCCTTTGAGAGTGGCATGTTGTGAGATATTTTAACAGTAATATAGGTCATCCTTTTATATGCTTATTTCACACAATTATGAATAGGGAATTAGGTAATCCCCTACTGTATTTCACCAGACCTAGTCTCAAGTGACTTTTGACTATTTCCAAATCAAATCTACCTCTGTCCTTAGAGATAAAAATTCTTCCACCGTTGACTTTTTTTTAAGCATGTAATCTGTACAAATCTCAAAGGAGTGACTAAGTCTCAGAAATGCTTTTTGTCTATGCAGCATTTTATACAAGCTATTATATGGAAATGAATAAAAATTAAAAATTAAAAAAACATTAAAAAATGGCAAAAGGGACCTAAATAAAACATGAAATAACCGCCTCACCAAAAACTCTGTCCGATATTGGGGGTACTGCCTTGGGACTCATTTAGCATGGTGGAGTACCAAGAACAGAGATTTTTTTCTCTCAAAAACTAACCTTTAAACCTGTAAACACTAGATAAAACTATCCAGTGTTTAGAAGGTGCATCCAGCAGGCCTCCAACCAAGAAAAGCCATTTTTTGAAATGGGATGGATGGGCATAAACATCAGGGCAAGAACTACATCTACAAGAACACAGCTTAGTAACTCCTGTCTGACTAGTTCCTTGTATCAGTGGGTCTGTTTCTGCTTTGCTTGTTTTCTTTCAGAGTTTTAAGATTTCAGGTTCTTACAGTTAAGCCTTAAATTCATTTTGGGTTTATTTGTGTATATGGTATAAGAAAGTGATACAGTTTCATTCTTTCACATGTAGCTGTCCAGTTTTCCCAACACAGCCTCCTGAAGATCCTGTCTTTTTCCCGTTGTGTATTCTTGCCTCCTTTGTCACAGATTAACTGACCGTGTAAGTGCGGGTTTATTTCTGGGTTCTCTCTTCTGTTCTGCTGATCTGCGTGTGTGTTTTTGTGCTAGGACCTCACTGTTTAAATCCTATAACTCTGTAGAACAGCCTGAAATTAGGGAGCATGATTCCTTCTTTTGTGGTTCTGTACAAATTTTGGTATTTAGTTCCACTTCTGTAAAAAAATGCCATTGGTATTTTGATGAAGATTGCATCAAATTTATAGGTTACTTTGGATAGTATGGGCATTTTAATAATATTAACTCTTTCAATCTATGGGCACAGTATATTTTTCCATTTATTTATGTCATCTTAAATTGCTTCTGGGTTTCTCTGGTGGCTCAGCTATAAAAGAATCCACCTGCAATGCAGAAGATGAGGGTTTGATCCCTGGGTCAAGAAGATCCTCTGGAGTAGGGAATGACAATCCACTCCAGTATTCTTGCCTGGGACATCCCATGGACAGAGGAATCTGGTGGGCTGTGGTACATGGGGTCACAAAGAGTCGGACACAGTGAAGCCACTGAGCTCACAAAAATGTCTCTTTCCGATGTTTCATAGTTTTCTGAGCACGGGTTTTCTCTCTGGTTTAATTTATTTCTAGATATTTTATTATTTTTTATCCAATTTTAAACTGGATTATTTTCTTCATTTCTCTTTCTGATCACTCTTTATTAATGCATAGAAAAGCAACAGAGTTTCGTATACTATTTGTATCATGCAACTTTCCTGAATTCATTTATTTATTCTAATTTTTTTGTGTGTGGAATCTTTGAGATTTTCTATATATTGTATTGTCATCAATGAATAGTGACAGCTTAACTTCTTTCTTTCCAATTTGTATGCCTTTTATTTATTTACTTATTTTTTGCTCCCTAGTTGCTGTGGCTAAGACTTCCAATACTACGTTAAATAAAGGCAGTGAGTGTCGGCATCCTTGTCTTCTTCCTGATCTTAGAGGAAAAGCTTTCATTTTCCTTAGTTGCTTTTAAGGTTCTCTCTTTATCCTTGACGTTCACCATTTTAATTATAACGTGTCTTGGTGTGTTTCTCTGAATTCAACGTATTTGGAACTTTCTTCTTGGATCTGGAAGTCTGCTTCCTTCTCCAGATGAGGGAATTTTTTAGCCATTATTTATTCCAGTGATTTTTCTCGTCTTCCTCTTCTTCTTCTGGGGCTCCTGTAATGTGAACATCATTCTGCTTGGTGCTTTCCCAGAGGTTGCTTGGAGGAGCTTCACTGTTTAGAATTCTTTTTTCATTGTGCTGCTCTGTCCAGTTTGGCTATTTTATTGCTTTGTCTTCCCGCTTACTGATTCACGAACCGCTCTAGTGTATTTTTTAGTTCGGTTATAATTTCTGTTTGGTACTGTCTTATATTTTCTACCTCTTTGTTGAAGTTCTCACTGTGTTCACCCACTCTTCTGCTGAGATCAGTGAGCGTTTCTCTTTTTTTCAGTGAGCGTTTTCATGACCATTATTTTGAACTCTATCATGGAGCTTCCTTATCTCTATTTCACTAAGGTCTTTTGGGAGATTTGCCTTGGTTTTTGGTTTGGAACATACTTGCATGTCTCCTCATTTTGCCTGTCTCTCTGTGTTTATCGCTATGTGTTGGACAAAGTGATTGCATCCCTCAGTCCTGAACAAGCGGGCTGGTGGGAGCTGCTCCATGGGGCCCCCAAGCACAGCTTTCCCTGGCCGCCAGAGACAGGTTTTCTGCCGGCATCCCTTTGGCGCTGCGTGGCCGGCTGCAGTTACAGGGGGAGGGCTGGAAACGGTTGCTGGTCCTGGCTGCGGCCTCGTTTCTGTGGAGTGGGCCGCGTTCAGGGTGTTGCCTGGGATGGCTGTGGTCAGCTGCTACACAGGACGGATGAGCTCAGGCCCCGGCGCAGCCGCGGACGGCCCAGGAGCCGCGTCGGGGCACCGCCGATGCCTAGCACGGCTCAGCCGCTGTGAGGCTTGGGGGGCTTGGGGGGACACTCGTGTCAGCTCTGTGGATGAAGCGCAAGGCCAAGGGCCCTCGCCCAGTCCGGCTGTGGTTCCGTATCTTCACCAGGTGGTGCTCGCCCAGCCTGGGGAGGCGCCGATGCTGTGTGGGGCGGCGGACACGAGACGCTTACCCAGCCCTCCTACGGCACAGGTGGGCAGAGCCTGCGCTTTGGAACTGCAGGCTTGGGGCGGGGGCGCTGAAAGCGTGCCCATCAGCGCTGTTACCGGTTATGATGAGACTGCAAAAAGGGTGCTCATCAGAGTTCCGTCCCTGGATGAAGTTCCTGCAGGGTCCTCTCTCTTCAGCAGCTGCTTTGAATTTAGTCAGTGGGTCTCCTTTCCTTGCCGTCGAGGGGCATTTCACTCCGCTGCTTTGCGCGGGATCTCAGGGCCAGTGCCTTTGGATGGAAGCACATGAAGGCCTGGAGCTCTCTTTCCCACATTTCCATGGCTCTCCTGCTCTTAATCCCCACTGACATTCAAAACCACATGTTTTGTGGGGTTATCATTGTTTTTATTTAATGGAACATCTAATAAAAGATTTTTCCTTTATTTCACCTAAAATTTCACCTAAAGGTCTTTACCGTAACAACTCAGTTTTAATGATCCCTGATCTATGCAACTAGAATCTTGGGATTTAGCCCTAACTCTTTCACTAATTAGCTGTTGTGACCTTGGATGAGTAATCACTCTGGGTTTGACTGGCTTTGTTGGAAACACCAATTTGTACAAAATGGTCTCTTCTATAGCTCTGTCAGTCATTATCCTATTTCTTGCTACTGGGTAAATAGTTTGACTGAGAATTTCAAATTAAAGCCCTTTCTTAAACATTATCTTTGATTTAACTTTCAGCTCCATGATTTTCTGAGGGTTTTCACTGGTATAGAAAAAAATGTTTTTTAATTATGAAATGCCATGAGAATCATCTATATCAATTCAGTAAGTGCACAACTCTATGGCTCCTACTGATGAGCCAACATTTCAAACTTCTCATGATTGCTCTTTTTTTTTTTAATGTGGCTTCCCTGTACCACTGCTCTCTGAATATAATAACATCATCATCATTAATTATAATTACACCTAATCTGCCAGCTGGTGATTATTTTTCCTTCTTCATTCTTGACTTTTTATATTTGAGATTTTTTTTTCTTTTTAAATTAACCTTCCCATCTGCAGTATATTTAAAACTTATAATAGTCTTCTTATTGCAAAAGTCTCTACAAGCCCTGTTTCAAGGAGACATACACATGTATAAGATGGAAAAAAATCAAAATCATCAGGTTTTTGCTACTTGAATCTCACTGTAGCACTTCCATTTCTGTTCAAGTCAACCACTCCTCAAAGTGTGTCTATCTCTCTCATTCCAATAAAGCCTTACAAAAGGAATCCCCTCTTTAGTCATCTGGCTGTGCTTCATAAGCTTTTTACAAAAGACCACATGCTAATCTGCTATCACTAAGGTAACTACATAACATTACTGTGGGTGAGAATCTGGCCAATTACACATTTTCACAGACCTGCTATTAAATTTCAAGTAATTGCTCAATTCTTGCATAACATGAGCTATTAACATAGCTTATCATGTAGCATGCTAGTATTGAATTTCCATCTGAGGGGTTATTTAATAATGGCATTGAAATAAAAAATGAAATCTGTAGACCCTGAGCAATATCACAGCTTTTACATGCTCTGCAGTCTGTAATAGGCTATTAGATAAAAGATAGTAATGTATTCTGGAAGAGCAAGTCCATTGACAATGAATAAAGGGCATGATTTTATTCTTGCTTCACAAAGAATGATGTCTGAATCTTTCTTAAAAGAATTATAGTCTTCAAGAGCTCCCAGACTTAGATCCTTTTGCAACTGGCATATAGGTCTTATTCTGTACAAAATCTTAAGAAGGAAAGCCAGAAATGTTTTGGAATATATAGAAAGATATCTAAAAACATAGGTGTTTTGAAATGTTAAAGGCACTGAAAATTGTAATATCATTAAAATCTGCATATCTACAGAAGAACGAGGAAGAAGAAAAATATTTCGTTCATGACATTTTGTAAGATTTACCACATATAATTTTTAAAGTGTATTTTCCACTAAAACAAATATTCACAATGTAAACGCTTTAAATTCTTAGCTTTATACATGTGTATATTTCTTAGTTTTTCAAATTAACTAAGACTGAGTAACTAAACTCAAATACTTAACACTGGGACAACTGTTACGTAAATATTGATAAATTTTGCTATTTACGTGCTCAAAAAATACATTAGTAATTATCAAAGAGTTGACTCTCTCTAATTTCTCTATTATCAGTTCAACTTTCCAGGGCAATGCAAATGGAATTTTCAAAATTCTCCAAGAGCCAGAGTCATCAGAACCCAAGCTGAGCATGCTCGGGTTTTATGGCCATTTTTACCCTACAACTCTATGTAAGAGGGAATTTGAAAAAAGACACAACTTTTGTTTAAAAATAATAATGTAATCTTAAGTTACTATAATAATATCTAATGACTTGTAAATATTTCAGAGTTTTAATGGGCTTCCTGCTTACACTGTTTATGTTGTTGTTTAGTCTTTAAGTCACGCCTGATTCTTTTCAAGCCTAGCCCTCCAGGCTCCTTTGTCCATAGGATTTCCTGCAAGAAGACTGGAGTGCGTTGCCATTTACTACTCCAAGTGGTATTCCAGACCCAGGCTCGAACTCACGTCTCCTGCTTGGCAGGCAGATTCTTTATCACTGAGACACCAGGGAAGTGATTCTTTAAAATTACTATCTGATGAAGCAAAAATCATTGAACACAGTTGAAAAATTTGGCAAGTATTGAAATATTGAGCAAAAAGGAGAAAAAAAGTGGCAAAACTTTCTATGCGTTTTATAGGTATGGAAACAATTCTGAGTGTGATAGTCCCCTTTGATTTATAAAAATCATTTGGAATCCTAAATATCGAATTACACTACAGCTTAGTGATGTTTTTCAGTTTATTCTATTATAGGGAAAACTGCCTTTGACAGTTTGAAGCAGCAAGTATTGACAAGCCAATGCTTTTAACTGGATCTGAAGACGAAACACATATATTAAAAGAAAAAGGAGCTATCTTGCTTATTTGAAGAGAGATCATTGGGCCCATCAGAACACAGTCTACCAGTCTGAAAACTAAACCTTGTTAAAAAGCAAGGGAATTATTAGAGCAATGGCTTTAAAACAAAGAAAACGAAAGCATCACGCAGACGATGAACTGAGAAAACTGGCTGACCCAGAAAAGAGCATCTGTCTAAACGTTAAAAGGAAAATTAAGCACAGGATCACGGTCTGCCCATTTATCATAGCAAAAATGCTATGTTAGCACAGTAATGGAGACAATGACTTTGTCTCCATGAAAAACATGAAGGGAGTTACTTTGACAATTCACTGATCCATATTATGCATAAACAGTATATTTGGTCCTGAAATATTATATGTATTATAGATATGAGTAAAAGCAATATATAGAGCAAATATATAGAGCAAAAGCAATTTTTAAAAGATTGGAAATAAAGATCAGTTTGTTCTCTTGCAGTTTTAGTCTATAACTGGGTTATCCTAAAGCTCTTGATTCAAAGAATTTGTCCCAAGGGATTTTTTTTGTATGGAGGGTAAGGAACTATAAATGCCTTTTCCTTTATTTCTCCTTGGGTGCACACAAGGGGCATTATTATCACAACCATTGAACTCACCATGAAGGCTCATTTCAGGTAGAAGAAGCAACTCTAAAAATATGTATGTATGTATATGTATAGTGTATATATATATATATATTTATGTATCATTCATCACATGATATGCCCCCTACATGTTCACAATATAATACTTCATTATTATTATTCAGAGTGTTTTTATTTTATAATGAGAGAGCTGTTAGAAATGATAGTTGGCACAGAACTAATTCTGGGCATTAGTCCAGCACTGGTACCAGCTTGTTTCATTATATAGGAGAAAGTCATTCTGCCTCATTAGGTTTTAATTTCTTCATTTGTTAAAAAAAAAAAAAAGCAAAAAACCCAGCAACGTGTTTTATCTAAGAAGAAACCAAATGTAGAATTTTGTATTTGTTTGTTTATGGATCAAGTGGCCAATAAGTCCCTTGAACATCTATTATTTAACTTGATATGACTGGAGGCTTAATGTTTGGTGGTTTAACGAAAGGAAGAAAGAGCTGTTGACTTTTTAGACTTTTTTATGGTGTTTTATTTCATCCCACCCCACATGGACATCTCACAAAAGAAGGAAAGCTAAGTTTTCATTTGCCCTTCACTTTCACCATCTTTCCCCAGCCTGCCCTACTGGTCTTGGAATTCTTTAGAGCGCCAAAAGAAAGAAGAAAATACCATCAGGTAAATGAGGTACGTCCTAAAATGCTGGGGCAAACGGATAGGACATGTCCCTGGGAAGTTCTCTGGTGAGAGGGAGATCTCAGTACTCTACCACCCGCCCCGCACTGTGAGCCCCTCACTCACAAACACAGTCACAGCCTCCTCCACCTTGCACTGCCTCGGTGCAAGAGGAGTGAGCAGACGTGAACAGCTAGGCCAGATGGGAATGTGTTCTCTGAAAAATGCCTGGAAAAAGATACCCTGGTAAGGAAGAAAGATGAAGATGAGCATGTTGTGATGTGTGTCTACGGGAATGCTCCAAGCAAGTGAAGCGTGTGTTGAGGAAGGAGGGGTGCGGGGAGGAGAGTAAGGTCTTGCACCAGAAAATAGGAGTCCAATGACCACTATTTATTATCTTTTTCATGAGACTTCCTTTGAACCTAAAGAGTAGTGGAGTGCAATGCAGATTAGAAAATTATGCTCAGCTGGCCATACAGAAAGCTTGTGGCTTACCAGCACAATGCCCCTATAGGTGTCAGAACAGAGGAATACTAGTTTTAGAGAGTTCTACATAGTGAAGGGCAATGCCTTGTCCCTTAGATGTTAGTTATCTAGTGTTTTGTGGAGGAAAAAAATCCTGGATGGTATGAAGATCTGAGCTGTGGCTTCGACCCTGTCATTGGGTGAAATCGGAACTGTCTTTTCCTCCTTGTAAGCCTCCTTCCAAACTGCCTCAAGACCTTTACTTCCTTCTATAATGAGGAGCCAAATAAAGATGAAATGAAGATCCTTTCATTGCTATGATTTTGTTACTTCATTGAATAGAAAAGGCCTAATAGAATCGATGGATAATTAAAAAAAAGTAAGAGAATTCCAAAACACTGTTTACTTTTGCTTTATTGAGTATACTAAAGACTTTGCCTGTGTAGATCACGACAAACTAGAAAATTCTAAAAATATGGGAATACCAGACCACCTTACCTGCCTCCTGAGAAGCCTGTATGCAGGACAAGAAGCAACAGTTAGAACTGGACATGGAACAATAGACTGGGGGAAAAGGAGTACAT